TAACCCTGTTTCGCCTGTAAAATGGAAATTGAATCTGAAGTTTTGAATAGGTTGAAGTTAAGCATTTTTGGCAAGAACATTTCCCTAGTAATACTGTGAACTTCATCTTGCATCATACTTGAAGGTCCAAAACATGAGATGATCCCACTGTTATGATGCTGAGTTTGGCCACTTGGTCAAGGACCTAACTACCAGATCTCTCCTTCTAAGAGTACATCGTCCCCTTGGTAATCTGGGTGGTAAAACTTTGCCACCATGCAAACACTCTGTTCCCCCCGTTTCACTAGCCATTGGTCATCCTGGCCTGCAGCTGAGTATTACATGAGAGAGAGTACTACATGAGAGAGAGGGCAGATTTGATTTTGAAACGAAAGAGGAGGGGCGCCTGGGTGGCTCAGTGGGTTAAAGCCTCTGCCTTCAGCTCAGGTCATGATCCCAGGGTCCTGGGATCAAGCCCCACATCGGGCTCTCTGCTCAGTGGGAAGCCTGCTTCCTCCTCTCTCTCTGCCTGCCTCTCTGCTTGCTTGTGATCTCTGTGTCAAATAAATAAATAAAAATCTTTAAAAAAAAATGTTCTCCTGTGAAAACAATTGCTTATGTGTTATTTGGTCAAAATTATGGCCCCATAAAGAACAGTGGCTCCGTTTCAATAAATATTTTTGAGATGATTGTCTAGAAAGCCACATTATGCAAATCAGCTTGTGACCTTGCTGAGTATATGAACTGGAAATTTGGATACATTCAAAATTATGGCTTTGCTAGGGATGCTTGGGTGGCTCAGTCAGTTAAGTGTCTGCCTTCAGCTCAGGTCATGATCCTGGGGTCCTGGGATCCAGTCCTGCATCGGGCTCCCTGCTCCGTGGGGAGCCTGTTTCTCTCTCTACCTTCCGCTCCCTCTGCTTGTGCTCTCTCTGTGTCAAATAAATAAAATGTTTTTTAAAAAGATTTTATTTATTTTTTTGACAGAGAGAGAGATCACAAGCAGGCAGAGAGGCAGGCAAGGGGGGTGGGGAGCAGGCTCCCTGCTGAGCAGAGACCCGGAGCCCGGGCTCCATCCCAGGACCCTGAGATCATGACCTGAGCTGAAGGCAGACACTTAACCCTCTGAGCCACCCAGGCGCCCCCAAATAAATAAAATCTTAAAAAAAAAAAAGATATTAAAGTAGTCTTCTGACACAATTGTCTCTTGATGGAAAACAAAAAGGAAAAAGTTAAGCATCCACTTATCACACAACCCAGCAAGCCCATTCTTAGCTAATTATTTAGGAGACCTGAAAACATGTTCATATGAAACCATGTACATGGATTTTTATTACAGCTTTATTTACAATCACCAAAAAATGAAAAGAACTCAAACGAATGGGACAACAAATGAGCATCGGTCCATGGCTTGGAATAGTACCGACCGACACGATAAGAATGAACCTTCGATGAATTATGCTAAGTGACAGAAGCCAGATTCCCCAGACTCCGGACTGGGTGATTTCATTTATTTGACATTTTAGGAAAAGCAAAACTTCAGGGACGGGGGTGGGAGTAGAAAACAGAGCAGTGGTTTCCAGGAGCTGGAAGAAGGGAAGCAGTTGACTACGAAGGGCAGGAGGCAACTTTCAAGGACTGCTAGAACTTTCCTATGTTTTGATTTGCACTCGCAGTGATGTGACCGGGTAGATGTTGGCCAGAACTCAGAAGTGTACCCCATGAAGGGTAAATTTTATTGTGTGTCAACTCAAGCTCAATAAACATGACAGAACAAAAAAGTCGGCTCCCCCAAATGTTCATTAATTATAGGCAGACAATAACTCTACAGTGGAGAAACCCAGCAGACACTATCCTAACCAAGTGATCCAAGTTTCCATCGCCTGCAGTGAGACATATCACATGCCTCTGATATGAGAGGATGAGAAGGGAATTTCACCTCTGTGGTATCCTCCACTCCAAAAAAAACCCTCTATAATCTCTATGTAGTCAAGATAAAACACCAGATAAACAGAGGTACGGTCTACAACATAAATGACCAGTATTCTTCAAAAATGCTGAGGTCGTGAGGCGCCTAAGGGGTCCAGACAGTTAAGCATGTACCTTTGGCTCAGGTCATGATCCTGGGGTCCTAGAATCGAGCCCTGCATTGGTCTCCCTGCTCAGTGCGGAGTCAGCTTCTCCCTTCCCTCTGCCCCTCCTCGCCCCAACACAGGCGCGCACCAAAAACTTTTTTTTTAAAAAGTAACAAATGAAGATGCTGTTACAACATGGGAATGAAGGGAATGATACAGAGGAATGGGAGAAACTGTTTCCAGTTGCTGCTGTAACAAATTACTACAAATTTAGGGGAGCCTGGGTGGCTCAGTGGGTTAAAGCCTCTGCCTTCTGCTCGGGTCATGACCCCAGGGTCCTGGGATCGAGTCCCACATCAGGCTCCCTGCTCAGCAGGGAGCCTGCTTCCCGCCCACCTCCCACCTGCCTCTCTGCTTACTTGTGATCTCTGTCAAATGAATAGATAAAATCTTAAAAAAAAAAATTACTACAAATTTAGTAGCTTGAAACCAAGCATATGTATTCTCATTCTGTTCTGGTACTCAGTGGTCTACCACTAGGAGAGGGAGAAGCAGGCTCCCAGCTGAGCAGGGAGCCCCACTGTGCCAGTGTCCCAAGGAAAAGAGTGGGGCTGAGAGTTGTACGTGGTGTTCCTCCCAAGGTGGTCAGTTGGTTGGGGGAGTCACCAAAACCTGGGGACATGGTCTCCATGAGCTAGGGAGTGGCAAGATTCAGGATTTATCTTGTAGCACAAGAAAGGGGTGCGTTTTTGGAAAAGACAATCTAGTTACAACTTAGGTTTTTGTAGGATCAATTGTGGGGATATTGAAATTACTAGGGATTGGGGCACCTGGGTGGCTCAGTAGGTTAAAGCCTCTGCCTTCCGCTTGGGTCATGGTCTCAGGGTCCTGGGATCGAGCCCCGCATCGGGCTCTCTGCTTGGCGGGGAGCCTGCTTCCCTTCCTCTCTCTGCCTGCCTCTCTGCCTGCTTGTGATCTCTGTCAGGTGAATAAATAAAATATTTAAAAAAAGAAAAAAGAAATTACTAGGGATTAGGACAGTAGCTTTAGAATGAAGGATGAGGAGCCAGGATCTAAAATCTTCCATGAAAAAGCAGGAGTGGCCAAAGGGAAAGGGTTAAGTTCAGTAGGGAAGGATGGGAAGTGTTGCATGGGTAGCTTGAGCTTCAAAAGAGCTGAGGGAGGGGGCGCCTAGCTGGCTCCGTAGAGCGTGCAACTTTGGGCGTAGAGCTTACTTAAAAAAAAAAAAGTCAGAGTTGCTAAGGGAGGAAGAATGGATGGTCTGGAAATGGCAAGGAGGAGCACCCATTGCAGATAGGAGGGTGTAAGACAAGGCGGCAAGAAGGAGGGACCAGTTCACACAGAGTTCAGAGACCCACAAGGAGAGGGGTCTCTCTGTGGTCTCTGAGAATGAAAGAAACATAGACATTGACAAAGGGAGGAGCGAGACCCAGAGAAAGGGACTCAGAAATCCAGAGGGATGGTGACACAGCTTCCCAGAAATTGCAGACAGAAGAGAAAGTGCCAGCATTCACAGGGAGTCATAACCTTCGTGTGTCTCTGCACTTGCCCAGCAGAGGGCGCCCGGGATCCCCCCCATTCCTGTGAGTCCCGGTAACCGTTAATCCCCACCACTTCCCCCCAAGCCCATCAGATGGGGCTATTTTTGCGCGGTGTCATAGGACACCGGTGGCTGGAAGGCCATCGTCTGTCTGTCCTTTGGTACCTTCGAGTGACCCTGCGTCATCTCCCCAGCCCACCCCACCCCCACCTGTTCCTGGCAGGCCCGGCCTCCTCCTCCGCTACCCAGGGCTCTAGCTCAGGCTTCACTGGGTCTCCGAATTCTTACCGAGAATACAGGTTGACAAGGCCTTGGCGAGGAAACGGGGTGTGGGGCACACATGATCATGGCTTGCAGCTGCTGGGCGGGGCGTCTCCAGGACGGGGCAACCACCAGGGCAGTGGCAGAGCCGACCTACAGTTACGGTCAGAAAGAGATCCAGAGATACGACTCGAGAGACCCTGAGTCTTCCAGCGCCCTGAGAAAGAAACTCGCAATACTTCAGGAATACAGGGAAAGAGACCCAAGGGGAGCCCCAGGGACCCCCAGGGACAGAGACACGAGTGCTAAGAGATAATGAGAAGAGATCCTGGCAGAGGGGAGAGATAGAGACCAAGGGAGACAGATAAACTGAGACAAGCCCCTAAGAGTCAAAGGCGGAGATCCAGGGACCAAGGCACAGACAACTGACAGAGACACCCCCCCCCAATACAGAGTCCTCTAGAATGGCAAAACTCAGAGATAACTGACCCATAGAGATACCCAGCGAAACAGCCCTTGTCAGAGACTCAAAATGAAGACACAGGCAGCCGCAGAGACACAAGATGACTAGAAAGACGTGGAAGTTTGTGACTCCAACAGAAGGGCTCAGATATTCGTAAAAAAGACACGAGAGGGGCGCATGGGTGGCTCAGTGGGTTAAGCCTCTGCCTTCGGCTCAGGTCATGATCCCGGGGTCCTGGGATCGAGCCCCGCATGGGGGGGGGGGGGTGTCTCTGCTCAGCAGGGAGCCTGCTTCCCTTCCTCTCTCTCTGCCTGCCTCTCTGCCTACTTGTGATCTCTCTGTCAAATAAATAAATAAAAATCTTAAAAATTTTTTTTTTAAATTAAAAAAAAAAAAAAAAGACACGAGAGACACATGGGAAACCCGGAGAGACGCGGGGCCGAGGAAAGGGGACTGGAGAGCCGGACCGGCGCGGGGAACTGCGGCTGGGGGGAAGGGGAGGGCACCCCGGCAGAGGGCGCACGGCCGCCCTTTGCCCCGCCGGGGTCAGGCGCCCCCTCCCCCGCGCCCTGGCCGGACCGCCGGTCTATTTTTACGCGTGGACACCGGACACCAGACTGGGGCGGCGGCGGCGGCGGCGGCCGAGGCGGGGCCGGGCCGGGCCGGGTCGGGCGTCGGGGCCACACGTCCGTCCGCGGGTCGCCGGGGCTGCGCGCGCCATGGAGCCGCGGTGCCCGCCGCCGTGCGGCTGCTGCGAGCGGGTGGTGCTCAACGTGGCCGGGATGCGTTTCGAGACGCGGGCACGCACCCTGAGCCGCTTCCCGGACACGCTGCTAGGGGACCCGGCGCGCCGCGGCCGCTTCTACGACGGCGCGCGCCGCGAGTACTTCTTTGACCGGCACCGGCCCAGCTTCGACGCCGTGCTCTACTATTACCAGTCAGGCGGGCGGCTGCGGCGGCCGGCGCACGTGCCGCTCGACGTCTTCCTGGAGGAGGTGGCCTTTTACGGGCTGGGCACGGCGGCGCTGGCGCGCCTGCGTGAGGACGAGGGGTGCCCCATGCCGCCAGAGCGCCCCCTGCCCCGCCGCGCCTTCGCGCGCCAGCTCTGGCTGCTCTTCGAGTTCCCCGAGAGTTCGCAGGCCGCGCGCGTGCTCGCCGTCGTGTCCGTGCTCGTCATCCTCGTCTCCATCGTCGTCTTCTGCCTCGAGACGCTGCCCGACTTCCGCGACGACCGCTACAACCCGGGGCTCGCTGCGGTAGCGGCTGCCGGCCCGGTGAGGGGGCGGGGCCTGGGTGGAGAGAGGCGGGGCTCGGGAGGAGCCGAGCCGGGGGGGGGGTACGGGGAGGCGGGGCCTCTCGGGAAGGAGGGGCCCCGCTCTGGCGGGGCGGGGCACCGAGGGGCTTGTCAAGATACCTGTCAGTGATGGGTGGGGCGAGGGGCTCGAGAGGTGGGCCACCCAGGGACGGGGCCTGACCAGGGCAATCTACCTTTTAAAGGCGGGCTGGGGGCAGGGAAGGGATAGACTCATGGGGGCGGGGCCCGAGGATCTAAGCAGGCGAACCTGCCAATCACAGGGCAGGGTTGAGACAAGGGCTGGAGGGCAGGAAGACCCCTACGTTAAGAAATGAAGCTGAGGGCTGAGAGACCGAAAAATAGGGGTCTGTAGGGCTGGCAGTAACCCATTGAAAGATGGGCTGGAGGTGGTGAGAGTGGAGCTTGAGGGAGCTGGAGACAGAGGACCGAGGTGGGAGGAATCAGTCACAAAGTCAGGCTGAGAGGGCCGTGAGAGCCAGGGCCCCAGGGCTTGGTATGCAAACAAGGTGTTTAGCCACTGTAGTCTGGGCTTCTAGGGGCTGGTTAGGGAGGGCAGAGCACAAGGAAGCATGGCCTGGGTGGTGACCCTCCCCATCTGGAAAATGAAAGCTGGGGGTGGGGCTTTGGATGGAGCTTCGCTCTGGAGACCTCACTTTCAGGAGCGCCCCCCCGCACCCCCCGCCCCCAGTGAAGGATCAGGGACCATATAAGGTCAGCCACACAGGCATGATCCCTAGAGCTCTGGAAAGGGATCTAGGACAGCTGGGTCACTGGAGGCCTGGGGCGCAATGACTGCAGACCAATTTGCACGGAAGTAGTTGCACATTTAAATCACAAATGTGGCTGTTCCTGTGTGTCCCAGCCCTGGTGTGGTCCTCTCTGAACCCCTTCCTCCCTGCAGTTCCCCGCTTGGCTGAATGGCTCCAGCCCAGTGCCCGGACCCCTGTCTCGCATGCCCTTCGATGACCCGTTCTTTGTGGTGGAGACGTTGTGTATCTGTTGGTTCTCCTTTGAGCTACTGGTGCGCCTGGTGGCCTGCCCGAGCAAGGCAGCCTTTTTCAAGAACGTGATGAACCTCATCGATTTTGTGGCCATCCTACCCTACTTTGTGGCGCTAGGCACCGAGCTAGCCAGGCAGCGGGGTGTAGGCCAGCCGGCCATGTCCCTGGCGATCCTACGAGTCATCCGTCTAGTACGTGTCTTCCGAATCTTCAAGTTGTCCCGGCACTCAAAGGGCCTGCAGATCTTGGGCCAGACACTACGGGCCTCCATGCGTGAGCTGGGTCTCCTCATCTTCTTCCTCTTCATCGGTGTGGTCCTCTTCTCCAGCGCAGTCTACTTCGCTGAGGTCGACCGGGAAGACTCCCATTTCACCAGCATCCCCGAGTCCTTTTGGTGGGCGGTGGTCACCATGACCACAGTTGGCTATGGAGACATGGCACCCGTCACTGTGGGCGGCAAAATAGTGGGCTCCCTGTGCGCCATCGCTGGAGTGTTGACCATTTCCCTTCCCGTGCCGGTCATTGTCTCCAACTTCAGCTACTTTTATCACCGGGAGACAGACGGTGAAGAGGCTGGGATGTACAGCCATGTGGACACGCAGCCGTGTGGCCCACTGGACGGCAAGGTCAATGGGGGGTTGATGGATGGAGAGATGCCTGAGCTACCACCTCCACTCTGGCCCCCCCCCTGGGAAACACTTGGTCACTGAAGTGTGAGGGACAGTTGAGGTCTGCAGGACCTCACGTTTCCTTGGAGGGAGGGAGGGAGGGGTAGAAGGGAAGGTTAGGGGGAGGGGTTTGGGTTTAGGAAGAACTAGGTTAAGTGGTAATGAGTTGGGGAACACTGAGTCTTATTGGGTCTTGAGTTGTGGTTAGGTAGCTCCCGTGGGTACTTCCTTAATTGACGGTGAATGGCCATGAGTTATAATGAGTTGATGGGGAGGCTCCTTTGGTTTGTACTACATTGGGTTGTGCAAGACTTACGGAGCCTTTCGTGGTAAGTGTTGAGACAGATTTGGTCACATAGTTTTGTTTTTTAGGTCCTCATTGGGTTGGGCTGTGTTGTTGAGTCGGGTGAGTCTTGTCCAATTGCATTGTGCAGGATTCTGTAGTTTTATGAGTCCCCTAGGGCCATTTTGGATCAAGTTAGGTGGTCACCCACGGCATTGTTGGGACTGAGTGCGTGTTCATGCGTGGTGTTGTGGAGTTGAGTTGAGACATGTTGGAAATTGTGTGGCTTTGTGATTCTTCTAGGGCTATGTTATTTTAGGTTCTGTGAACTTGTGAGTCACGTAGAAATACAAAGAGTCAAGTGATTGAATGTGAGCTTTCTAGGTCATGTTAGGTTAAGCTGGGCTGGAATGTATGATGGTCTGAGTCTTTCAGGGTTCTGTTGGGTTGAATTGTGTAGAGTAACATAGCTGGAAGTTTTGGGGGGCTACACTGAGATGAATCATATCCAACTGTATAACCATGTGAGTCTCGTAGGGGTATGCTGAGGTGAATTACCACAGGTTGTGTCATTGTGAGTCCTGTAGGAATGTTAGGTTGAGTTGGACTGTGCATATGGGCTCCATAGGGCCGTGTTAGTTTGTTTTGCATTTAGTGGTAGCACCAGGACCCAAGAATAACAACACTGGGGAGGAATCATGTATCAGGGAGAAAGTGTGGCGCTAGGGACTCTGCGAGACAAACAACTGACTTGCCCAGTGTCATTTACTGTAAGGGGTGGGGCTGAGTGCTGAACCCCTAGATTCAGTTGTTTGTGCAGAGGGCCTCCGGGTGAGCTAGGAAGATGTAGACAGTCCTTCCATTTACTCTACACCTGCTTCATTTTGCCATTCATACCCTCTCTCTCTGTCCTCCCCTACAGTTTTGCTTCTAACCATGGAGATCAGAGCCGCAAGGGAAGGGGAAAAGGGAAGAATCTGTACTTTGTACAGGCATGATGGGAGAGAAGGGGACAGAAACCCAAATGAGGGGACAGAGACCTGGAAGTGATAAAGACTCAGAGAAAGAGAGATAGAAACCCAGAGGAGAGGGAGCAAAGACCCAAAGAGGGAGGAAGAGAGATTTAGGGAGAAGGAAACAAGGACAAAGACCCAAAGAGATGGGGAGATGGAGACCCAGAGGAGGGGAGTCAGAAACTCCAAGGAGAAAGAGAGATAGAGACCAGGAGTGGGACATGGAGATGGGGGTGTGTGTCAGACACCTGGAGAGGGACAGGCACCAGAGCTGGAGCCAAACCAGGGCACCCCCAAGAAAGAGAACCAAAAAAGGAATATAGAGAAAAAAAATCAGTGCCTCTGAACCCAAGAGATACGCAAAGTCTCTCTTCCACAGAATCACAAAGGGATCCCAAATCAGGGAACCCCACCCTATCCTCCCACAGCTCAGGAAGAATGTCAGGTAAACTTGGGAGCTCTATTTTCCAGGGGGAGAAACTAGAGTCTTAGGGCACAGGAGTAGCTTCCTGGGGTCCCATGGCACTTCCCAGGAGCTGGGGTTTATGGCAGGCTGTCCGACTCCCCCTGTCCCATCAGCCTGCAGGTGTCCTCCAGCCGAGTTTCTCTGGAACCAAGAAACTGAGGCTCAGGGGGAGGATGGGATCCAAGGCAGGAAGCCAAACGTTTTCAGAGCGCTTTCAGTACCAAAAGGGCATTTGGAGGAGGAGAGGAGGATGCCTCAATCACGAACACATAGAGGGCTTCCTATGTGCCAAAACATCATCTGAAGTCCTTTACTTGTATTAATTTATTAAAACCAGTGGTTTACAGAATGGTGGTGTTGTTATTTTCAGCTATCGGCCCCTCCCTTTTTGGATCCAGTGAAATCTTACTTTGATGCGGTGTGGCTCCTCAGAGGGGACCTGGTCTGAGGGACACACATGTCCATGGAGTCCTTCTTGGTGACTCAGAATGCAACTACGGAATTCAGTCTGGAAACCCGTGATTTAATCCAACTCCCTTTTTTATACGGAGTGACGGTAGAAGGGACAGATGGTGGGAAGAGTTTGATCAAGGTTGAAAGCCATAGAATCTGTAGGTGGTCCCTTCCCTCTGAAATGGAAAGTCACATCTGGAGACAGAAATGGAGATAGACCCCCTCACAGTGAGAGACACAAGGCAGAGTCTGGGTCCCAGCAGAGACCCGAAGAGGAGGAGACACATGCAGAGAGGGACCAAGACCTGGAGAGTGGGACACTGAAGGGGCAAAGGGAGAGCAGGAGGGCGGTGACCTAGGAGGGGGGAGTCAGAGACCCCCTCCAGAGATCCACAGAAGCTGGGAAGCCAACCAGAGAGGAGAGGTCAGAGATCCAGAGAGAGAGAGCAGGGCTAGAAGCCCAGACAGAGAGGGAGAGGGGGACAGAGACTGGTCTACTTTTCTTTGAAAACTTACCTGTTCGACCCCATCAGAGACCAGAAATCACATAGAGTGTCTCTGGTAGGGAGTGGGACCTATTGGGTGCTTAGGAATGGGGTGGGGGGGGGAGTGTGGAGAGGTCAGGGAAGTAACCCCAGGGGACACTCAGACTGGGAAGTGCCCCTTCTCCACCCTTAGTAAACAACCCACAGCCACCTTCCACAGCCTTCTACCTTGCCTTGGCGGGACTGGGAAAAGGAGAGGGGAACACCCTAATCCGGGGACACCCTTCCTGCCACCTTGCCATGCTATATTTAGGCTGATGGAGGGGTATGGGATGACCCCCTGCCCCTCCCAAGATGGATATCAGCTTTCCTCCTAAAATAGCTCTGGGGGAGGGGTGGAGGGCCTGGGACTCTTAATTCCAACTGACCTCAGTCTGTCTGAGATCTCTCTCTTCTCACTGGGTCTCTGTCCCCCTTCTGGGATTGTGTCCCCTTCTCTCGAGTGTCAAGTGTCTTTCCTCTCTCTAGGTTTTTGTCCCCCCCTTTCTCTCCATTTCTGTGCCTTTCCCATCTCCCTTTGTCACTCTTCATTTTTTTTTTTTTTTTTCCTCCAAGCAGGTCGTTGTGTTTCCACATCAAATCCTTGTCTATCTCTGAGTCCTATAATACCTTGAATTTCTCTTATCTGAGTTCAGGACAGACCCTCTCCCCAGTCCCCACCCAGGAAATTCCAGCAGAGGGGACTCTGTGGGAGAACACCCCCAACACCATATCCACTGTCTCCCAGGGCCTGGGGCCTTATCGCTGCCCAAGTCCAGCTGGTTAATGTCTGGCCTAGAGCTCCTGGGAAAGTGGGGATGAGAGCAGAGGGTGGGAATCTGCCCAGAGATTGACACTTAATTGGCAACAGAACGCAAAGAAATCTCAGGCCCAGACTCCCGGCTCTAAGAAAAAGAGGGAGCTGCTGTCAGGACTCCTGGGTCTGAGGGAGGAGGGCCTGGGGGGGGGGGTAAGGACTCCAGGGTCTGAGGGAGGAGAGGGCTGGGGGTGGGGAGCAAACTCTTGGGTCTGAGGGAGGAGGGGCTTGGGGTGAGAACTCCTGAGTCTGAAGGAGGAGGGGCTGGGGTCGGATCCTGACTCCTGGGTCTGAGGAAGGAAGGGACTGGGGGTGCCCAGACTCCTGATTCTGAGGGAGGAGGGACTGGGGGTGAGAACTCATGGGTCTGAGGGAGGAGGGGCTGGGGGCGGGTCCTGACTCCTGGGTCTGAGGGAGGAGGGACTGAGGGTCAGAACTCCTGGGTCTGAGGGAACAGGGGGCTGGCGCCTGGCCTCCCGGGGCTGAGACGGGCCAGTTGCTGAGAGAGCCAGGCCGGCCTTCCGAGGTCCCAGCACGCGTCTGGAAGGCGGGATCCCCCGGCCCCTCCTCCGCCGTCGGGCACCGCCCCGCCCCCGCCCCCGCCCCCGCCCGGGCCAGCCGGAGAGTGTGCGGCGAGGAGCCGGCGGACGAGCGCGCGTCCCTGCAGCCGACGAGCAGGAGGAGGAGCCGCGCCGCGCTAGGGGCAGCGGAGAAGCCGAAGAGGGCGCCCCAGGTAAGAGCCTCTGCGCCTCCTTCCCCGGGATTCCCGCGGCTGGGTCGCCCTGCCCCCGGGTAGGGAGGGACGGGGGCGGGGCCAGAGGGGGCGGGGCTTGGCGGAGGAAACTGAGGCAGGAGCGAAGTCCTCCAGATATGCAGCCGGTTACCCCCAGAGGGGTCTCAGGAGACCATTCCCCCAGCTCGGATCTTCTTTGGGAGGAGGGCTCTGGGAGTACGTAATTCTGGATACCTGGGGAAGAGAGCCCTGAACTCCAGAGCTCCCAGGTCTGAGGGAGGAGGGCGCTGGGGGTCTGGACTGCTCGGGCTCTCAGGGAGGAGGGTGCTGGGCTCCTGGACGCCAGCACGTGAGAGAGGGAGCTGGAGATCTAGACTCCTGAAGGAGGAGGAGGCGGGGAACCAGGACTTTCGGGTCTGAGTGAGGTGGCGGCGGGGAACAGGGACTTCTGGTCTGAGGGAGGAGGTAGCTGACTTCTGGTCCTGGTTGGATCGGCATCGTTGGGTCTCTTCACACCCTTCTTTCCATTTCCCCATCTCGGAGCCAAGGCAGGCAGCCACTCCAGGTATGTGCGGTAGACGTCTTGGACGGGCCCCGGCCTGTCCTGTGAGGATAGAACATTCCAGGAAGCAGCCTCAGGGACCCAGGGCTTCTTGAGTGTGGGCCCTCAGGGACCCGGGTGTCCAGACCAGCGCCACCCCCGCCCTGTCTGGGAGATGAATGGGCCGTGGAGGATGTAATCTTTTCCAGCCTCCTCTATCCTTCCCCCTCCGCCCCCACCCTCCCAACCCCCGCCTCTCCCCTCACCTCCCCCATCTGCTTCCCATCCCAGCCAGGAGCCATCACCTGGTCAGGGAAGGGGCCTCTGGGAAGGGGGCGCGGCCTTGACTCTTGGGTACCCTGCACTTTAAGAGGAACGCTGGGAAGGGGAGTGTTCAAGCCCCCTCCCCCACTTGCTCACACAACCTGCCTGTTCCCTTCTTCCCCTAGGTGGCTGCCCCTTTCCTCTCCTGAGATGTCAGGAAAGAGGGGACCACCTGTGTCCCCCACAGGGGCCCCCCAGAGCCTGGGGGCCCCCAGCACTGGAGCCTGGAGGTGGACGAGGTGCTGACAGGTCTGGTAACCACCTGCTGCTTTCTACTTCTCTCCACACCACTTTCCCAGAACTACAGACTTCCAGAATATTGCAGAGAAACTGTAGGGTCCACACCCTCACCACTATCTCCCGGCCCCTGGTTCATTCCTTCCTTCCTCTTTTTTTTTTTTTTTTTTTTAAGATTTTATTTACTTGTCAGAGAGAGAGCTTGAACAAGCAGGGAGAGTGGCAGGCAGAGGGAGAAGCAGGCTCCCATTGAGCAAGGAGCCCGAGTTGATCCCAGGACCTTGGGATCATGACCTGAGCCAAAGGCAGATGCTTAACCAACTGAGCCACCCAGGTGTTCCCCTGGTTCATTTCTTGGATAGGGAAACTGAGGCCCCACACGAGAGAGGAAATGTCTTACCTTCTCAGTGGCAGTGTTGAGCTGAACTTGGGTCTTACTAGGATCCCAGAACATGGTCTTTTTTAGAATTTGGAACCTCAAACTTCCTCTAGGCTGCAGGACTTAGGGTCCCGCAAGGCTGTAGGTAGGGGTAGGATTCAGGGCAGAGTTGCTCTGACGGGGCTCAAATCCTACTTCTGGCATTTGCTGGCTGTGTGATCTGGTATCAGTCACTCACCTCTCTGAGCCTGTATTTCTCCATTTGCTGATTTGTTGGCTATTATTAGCAATAGTAGTAGAATAATTATGATTAATCCAGAAGTAGGGTGTTATCTAAGTCCTAGAATATAAGGTCCTCCCAAGGTTCTAGAACAAGGGCTTCCCATGGTTCTGGCATTCAGGTCCCCCTGGAGTTCCCAACCTCTGCCCCCCTCCCCCACTAAGTTTTTACCCTCATCTCTAACCCCAGCTTCCCTCTTTATCCTCAGGTGCTCAGCGAGATGCTCCCCAGCCCCTCCTGCTCCCTCCCCATCCTCCTCCTTTTCCTCCTCCCCAGTGTCCCAATGGAGTCCCATCCTCCACCCTTACCACTGCCCCCATTTCTAGCCCCTGAATGGGACCTCCTGTCCCCCCGAGTAGTCCTGTCCAGGGGCACCCCCGCTGGACCCCCTCTGCTATTCCTATTGGAGGCCGGGGCCTTTGGGGAGCCAGCAGGCAGCCCCGCCAACCGCAGTCGGCGAGGGGTGAGCGAGACAGCACCAGCAAGTCGCCGGGGAGAGCTGGCTGTGTGTGATGCGGTCAGTGGCTGGGTGACGGACCGCCGGACAGCCGTGGACCTGCGCGGGCGTGAGGTGGAGGTGCTGGGCGAGGTTCCTGCGGCTGGAGGCAGCCCTCTCCGCCAGTACTTCTTTGAGACCCGCTGCAAGGCTGACAGCGCTGCTGAGGAAAGTGGCCCTGGTGGGGGTGGGGGAGGCTGCCGGGGTGTGGACCGGAGGCACTGGGTGTCTGAGTGTAAGGCCAAGCAGTCCTACGTGCGGGCATTGACCGCTGATGCCCAGGGCCGTGTAGGCTGGCGATGGATTCGAATTGACACTGCCTGCGTCTGCACGCTCCTCAGCCGGACTGGTCGGGCCTGAGGCCCCTGCTCAGGAACTGGGCAGGCAGAGGAAGAAGATAGCTGGATGCTGAGGGACCTCAGGGGCAGCCTGACTGCTCTGGGCCTCAGTTTGGGAACTTGTGAAATGGTCACAAAATCACAGCTTTCTGAGGTGGAGAGCTCAATCCATGCAAGACAGGTGGTGAAACCAAATGGGGTTTTGAAGGATGAATAGGAGTTCT